TATATATATTTGAACATTGTATAGTAATATTCAAAACTGTTAAGCTTAAATAACTCTGTTATCATATAGTGGGAATTTTCATGAAGCCGACCAGCAGTAGTTATTAGTTCGTATCGTTGTATTACATCGTTGTACAGATAATTATGGCTGAGCTGTTGAGGCGACCCACAGAATCCTGCCGGTCCTTCGACTGAGTTGTAGCATGGTTCTGACTAATATTCCGTTTAAAAGTGTTTATTCTCAGAGTTCGGCATAGTAACCGCAATAATATCTTATTTTTACTGTGTAAAGGAGACAGGTCACTTGGTCTTTCTTTTTCAGTTTTAGCTTTCATTTGAAGAAAACAAACATTTCAAACAGGTTTTAGCATTTCTTGAAGTTTCCAATTGGACAGTGACAATAGTCATCTGGAAAAAGATTTCTTTTTGATAGGTTTGCTGTAGGAAAAAGCTTATAATAGTAACTAACTTGTCTGAGCCAAATATTGCTACGAAATAACTTAATTTTTAATAGGGATAGGAATTTTGATTGGAGAGCCAAAAAAGTGACGTGCTTTTCGCGTATGTAGAGCATTTTAAATTTTTTTGAACTGATCTAAGTTCATTTAGTTTTTATTTGTTGGAACGAGGAGTCTTGCAAAGCAAGTATTTCATCTTTTTAACTTTTTTTACCTTTTTCATTAGCTAGCCGTCGCAGTAAAGTCGTCAGAATACGGCACCTTCATTTCTAATAATTGTTCTTTTGTAGCTTCGCTTTGACCGTGATAACCAGTGCTAAAATCGGTACAACTCCTAGAAAATATGCTATAAATATGATTACCGGATTTAAAGTGTTTCGTTCTGTCAAAACCCCCTCCTCTCTTCGTTTTCGCTGGTTTTTTCTGAAATTTTCAAGGATTTAAAATTTAATTCGTTTTGTATTATGTGGAAATATATTTGGGAATTACTTAGGGTTTTGATCACCTACTGCGCTTTCAAATGAAAAACATTCTGCCGCAAGAAGTACTACAGAAAAACTCCTCAAATAGCATCGTTCATGTTTGCCTCTGAAATGCTACTTTATTAAATTATTTCCTATCTAACAATTGTCGGCCATTGCTAGTTAAAATGAAGCATACTCTTCATAACATACAACCTTTTATAGCGGTAAGAAGAAAACTTGGGAGGCTCTTGCTATCTAATTTTCATCCAAAGTAGGGCCAGAACTTTGAAATTCTTTCGAAAACAAGTCAATCAATGGAAGTTTGACAGAAAAAAACATTTTTCTACTCTTCAGTACTGAATGCCGAGCAGCAAACATTCAAAATTACAAATTCATACAAACACAAAGGAATTTTAAATAAAAACAGACGTTTACATCGTCCATTAACAGGTTTTTTGTCAGCACTGCTTTTGATTCAGTCGTTGCAGTCGTAGAAATGATATTCTAGAAAACTTCCATATTACAGGAAAGAAGGGAACAATACAGGAACAAGAAGTGCAGTTGGCTACAACCGTATAAGATTAAAATGTAGTTTTAATTAACGGATATAATTTAAATGATGACTCATCGTATCACTCGTAAACTATGTCTGAAGGTTTTTTTATTTTCCGAAGCCGACTATTTACCACATTTTGTAAAGAGAGACGTTTTGCACCAAGAAATATTCACCTCGGCAGCGTAAAAAAGACAATTTCAGTCACCGTTTTGTCCATGAACGACACCCATGTTAAATTATCAGACGTAAGAGAACTGTTTATTTGCCAGTGTTACAAATGGACTGTGTTTTCTGTGACATATTTCGTTTGTCATTACGGTAAAAAAACGTCTTAAAACCTTCCAATATTCAATCTTTAGCAATAAATAGTAGAGCTTGGAATGCTAGCTAAAATAAGCGAAAGAAAAGATTGGGAAAAAATACTTTTGTCATAGGTCGTCCACTTACTGTCCCTCCTTCTGACTGCCTTACAGTACTCGCGTGAGGTTCTCTCTAAAAAATATGTGCCACTTATAAAAAGACAGCACATAGATATTAAACAAGAGACCCGGGAAAGATACAGCAGTGTAAAGTCAGAGGCTTCAAATCACGCAAATAATACAAGTGTTGGAAGCGCTTCGTGTAGAAAAATAGATCTGGAGGTCGGTCATCTTCTTAAGCTGAGTATGTATCAGATTTGATACCGAAACATTTCTTGCAACAGTAGACATATGCCAAAGTATTGTAGAAAAAAGAAATTTTAGCTACCAAAGTTGTTGTTCGCCCATAGAGAGCTCTTCCATGAACTTACCTAACATTGGAAAACTAGTTACATACTCCTGCTAGTCATAAAGTGTGCTTTTTGTCACACCACTATAAAGAACACTGTATCCGGAACTTTTCGATTGTCAGTATTCAGCAACAATCATTGAAGTCTTGCAACACTGAAGAACAGATGACAAGAGAAATTATGGAAAAAGAACAACACTTACACTTTCCTTAGACTGTTGTGTTGTATACTTTGTTTTCGAAGCAACTTCTGAGGTTCTTCCAGATCCTCTCTAAAAATCTGCACAACAGTGTACGAAGAAACTATAACATAGACAAACGCGAAGTGCAAGGAAACCACACTCAAGTAAGACTGTAATACACCTTTAAGTGCGGGAGATAGTATAAATGCTGGCAGGTTCTTTAGCCATTTAGAATCAAAAATAAAAGATATTTTACAATAAAAAACAGTTGCCATAGCTGTATAAAAAAAGAAGTGTTTATTTACCAAAGTTGCTTTTTGGCCACAGATGACCATTTTATTGAATTATTTGAAATCTGAGAGCTACTCGACGATTATTTTCAATAATAAAGCCAATTTTTTTTACTGTATACCACTCGGCTTAGCCATACAAATAATTTTTAAAATCTTTTGATGTTGACTGTTTGGCACCAGCATTACTCTTTGAAGTCTCTTGGAGCAAAAGATGTTACATAAAGACATTATAAAGAAAAGTTTTTAAATTTGTTGCAAGTACTATTACCGATTCGTTTAATGCAACCTCATACTGTTCTTCTGGATAACGCCTGTGTAACTGGCCTTCTAGAAAATTACATTTTTTGAAAAGAGAGTAGAGGAACGAAGGAGTGCTGTCAAATATTTTGAAGAAAATAATTGGAGGCTTCAGGACTTGATGCGAAGCTGTTATTACATAATATCTGCTTTCAAAACACTTTGTACACTCGGTGT